GCTCACACCTATCCACGTACCACTACAAGCACACTCGCCAACACACGCGCTGACGCCCTCGCGGGCATCTACTCCGACGCACACGCAGACATATACTCCACCACATGCATCCACACCTACACACCCACACATCCCCATCAGCCCAAACATCTTTATCCAGCCTCATGCACCTCTTGTCCCAAACACAATGCCTTTCTCACAGACACACTCCCTCTCCCCCGCTGCGAGGCACTCTCCTCTCACAGGGGACTACATCCCCCTCCCCCAGTTCACCTTCGACCAACCACAGTCCAGATACATGAGCGGCCTGTCAGCTGGACTATCAGACCCTGATTCAGCCACCTGCTCATCCCCTTTCGACAGCAGACTGGGAAGCAGTGCAGGATTCAGTGCAAAGAATCGGAGGACCGCCCAATGAGCATCGAGCATTGCCTTCAGGAAGTTAATTAATTGGTCCAAAATCTCTTAAATTGGATTAGAGGGGCTTCGGCTGACCTCAGCAGAGATTGGTGCTGGGGAGAAAGTGAGAGAAAGAAGTTTACTGGGAGAGGGATTTTTATGTTTTATTTTTTGCTTTTGTTAAGATGAATACTGAACAGACATTAATTATTATTTTCAGAGAGACACTGGTACAGTCCCATCCTAGAATAATAGACAATGGATCAATTTTCCTAAACCCAGCTTGGGGACAGCAGATCCATTGAGGCTGTACCAGTCAAACAGTACCCACTGTACATGGTGTGTTTGGGACTTATACTAATAACACACCAGGACTAAAGCCACCTAACTCCGTAGCCAAAGTTTTTTTTGACACACTGTCCCCACCCACGCGAGCCAATCAGGAAGCAGCGTCTGGCTGATAACCTCTGACCTTTTCAGGAAGTGGTTTGTGAAATGCGAGCGTGGGGGGAATTGTGGGATATGCAACTTCAGGTTTTCTACAGAAGTTCTGCTTGCCCCTCCTCTGCTCCTCGATCACATTGATCAGAGCAGAAGTGTGTGTGTGTGAGTGAGCGTGTCTGCGTTTTCCTATGTGCGAGTTTTGTCAAATCTGTTGTCATGGAAGTCGGCCATGTTATTCTTACGCCTGCATCGACAGAGAGGGGGAGCAGGGCAGAGCTGTAGTGTATGTTTATCTGTGTATCTGTGCAGTGTAAATAAAGGAAAATACTGTATTTGGTGAGATTAAAAATAGCTCTATCCATATGCACATATTTTTATAGAGATCTAAAATGTTTTTTGCACACAAATTTCAATTTCAAGTTGCTTGTTTTTCCTCTGTTGTCCTCTTGTGAATGTATGTTTCTTTTCAAAACGCAAAGAGAGAGAGAGGGAGAGAGAGCGGGAGAGAGAGAGGAAAGGAGGTCAACCCTCCTCTCAACAGGCTAGCTGAGGTTGAGGAGTTGGATTTTATTTTTCTATTTTGAAAAAGAGGAAGATGAGAACAGGGGTGTGATGTGTTTCTGTAGCTTTGTCTCAGATTTCTATGTATTTGATGTCTAAATAACAGTCTTAAGAAGTGGGCTCAGTCATGCAAGCCGAATTCATCTTAAGATGTTTTCCCACGTGATGTCCCTGCAGAGAGTACAGTTGAAGATTTTGTGTAAAAATGCTGAGACTACTGGCTAAACCTGTGTGCTGTCTCTCTACAAATTCAAATCTAAATGTGGCTATTATTCCAAAAGAAACAAAATAGGGGTTTGCCCTTGTAGGGAGTAAATCACATGCAACACAGAAACGGTTTATGAATTTGTCCAAATAAATTATAAAATAACAAGCAGCAGCTCAATATTTCTGCGGGCTGCTGGCCATGGGAAAATATACAATATTACAGTATTATCCTCTTGAAAAAGAAAGTATGACCTGGCATCACTGAGCCCCCCTTCTACAGCTGTTGTCAAGCTGGATCAGCTCCAACACCACTTAATGTTCTGTACATCTAAAGACAACCAAACTAACTAACTTACTAAATATGTGTAGCCAGAGTGCAATAATAATATATACTTGTGAAAAATATAGTTAACATCCACACTACATAAAACAACCACATTCTTGTGTTCGTACATACTGTAGAACTACTATATATGATATAAATACATTTTTATATGATGATTGAGAGTATTTCTATCTCTAGTGTTCATGCTACTATAGGTACTTGCCTCCTGTGCGTGGCTGCAGTGGCATGGGTGTGGCTGGAAGCAGTGTTAGGTAGTGTAGATTTCTCTAAAAGCTCAGGCCCACCCGCTGATGGTGTTAACTGTAAGCAAAAGAGTGACATGCATCTCTGCTGAGGACTCAATAACCTGTTTATCACTCCTCAATTTTCTTTTTAACCCACCGCATTAGAGATTAGATAAGCATGAGACAACACGCCTACATATCAGTTATGTAAAATTAACCCCCCCGCACCCCCCAGGTGTGAATGACAAAGAATGACACGCATTTTCCTTCCAGTGGCTGAATGTTTTCTTACCAAGCCATACCTTTATTTCGACACAGCACAATATGTATTTTATTCTGTTTTGTGCACAGTCTGGTTTGGCACAGGTACACAAGAAGCATGCTTGTAAGCTACTACTTATTCCCCTTTTAAAGGCAGCTGGCTGGGACGGCGTCTTTATTTTTTCTGATCAGCATGTAACATGCACAACTCCTCAGTGATATGAGTGATAACCAAAGTGCTTTGATGCTGTCACCACAGGCCCAGTATTCTTATGTGCAATGGAAAACTGTATCTATCTTGACAGGTATTTTCATTTGTGATTGATTAACTAGGTGACAAAGGCTCTCTGGAGGTCGGTGAAACTCTGAAATGGTATTAAACCAAACCAGCTTGAATTTTATTAATATGTGGGCATTAAATAAAAAATAAAACGTTCACAGAGGACAGATCATTTTTATGCTAATTTTTCAAATAAAAAACGGTCTTACATCATGCTAAAACTTGCATTAAAATGCTGTAAGAGAGTGCCGGTACCTGCAGAAACCCTTTTAAACCGGTGATGGTCAGTGATGAAAAGAAGGAGATCCAGATTATCATTCTCATCAGCTTTACATCTCCCAAGCAGTATGCATGTAGGGGGCAAACATAAGAAAAGAAAGAAACACGTCTGTTAGCTTCGTTTTTTCCACACGGTCAGCACTTTTGACCTTTCGTGTATAACAGTGCAACCCTGTGATTGGTGAGAGTGAGGCAAAAAATGACAGACAACGTTCCATGAAGGTTGCAAGACAGAATGAAAAGCTCTTGGACAACGAGATTACAGTTTCTAAATGTTGCTGCTTGTTCATCTTTTGATAGCACTCTTCTTCCAGTTCTGACATACAGAAGCACATCTGTTTGGTTCTGAGATGTTGTCCTCCCTCCTGTACATGGCACAGTTGGTCGCCCCCCCCTGGTTTGAAACCATTTGAATACAGTATGTGCTCAAACACACTGTCATTGTGCAACTGCTTTGTCCTGTTTCATGTCCTCTTCCTGCACAGATTGTCCGCAATGGGAGGTTTTAAGTTGTCTGAAGACAGCCTCTTTCTGTCTCACTCTTAGTGCAGACAACCCCGATCTACAGCATATTGCCATATTAATCGACACAGTTTGGTAGAGTGACTGCATAATTGTTCTTACGATTTACAGATCTTTGGATCTCAGTATTTAAATCATGTTTTTGAGGAAACAGTTTTGACTATTGCATGTTCTGATTTAAGAAAAAAAAAATCTTTTGGGAAAGAATCATCTGGATGTTTTAGAGATTTTGATATTTGAATTTTCAGATGTTTCCATTTGTAGATTGACTACCTAATTGCACTGGGCTCTGATTAATTGGTATCTGATAAAATACTGATTAAACGACCCTATTCTTTATTGTCCAATGCAATATTGGGTGGTTATTTACTGTATGAGGACTGAGATCCTCTTTATACAGTTTTATAGAGAGAAATGGAAACCTAGTCGGTTCTATTTTGTTCAGAACCAACATTATTTAATGTTGAGGTGAACCTTTTTTCACTTTTCCTCCTGATACTCTAAACATGGTAGAACTCTGGTATTGGTGAAACTAATTAACTGATGTATATTTTATGTAAGAGTAGCCTCAGCCCTGATGCTCTATAACAGAGGACAAGGATAGTAAAAAAAAGTTAAGTTTTCTGGTTTGACACTGAGCTGGTCCAGCTTCGCAGTGAAGCTGATCATGCTCCTCACACAACACAAGTGTCGCCACAACAGCAGACTCCAGAAAGTTCAACCTGTGATAGAACTTGACTTGGATCAATCGGAAGCCTTGTGTTTTCTTTCTTTCTTTCTTTTTTATAACCCTTCAGTGATTGGCCCAGGCACCCCCACCCCCAAACCCCCCAAGCCTTACAAGGAGGGGAGGAGGTGTGTTCTGTCTGTCAGAGAAGAGCCAACGTGTCTGCAATAATAAGCCCCCCATTATTCCCTGTAACAGAGGGAGAAGGGAGGGGACATGGGAGGTGTTTAAAGGCTCGACACACAGTCGGACTCTCTACATTGTATTGTTGCTGATTATTGTGTGATGACCAACCGTTGTCCTGAAGGATGTTTCCCTGTCAATTAAAAAATACAAGATTTTTTTATTCCTGGCACGTTGTCTGCTTTGTTTCTTATGTCCATGTTTGTGCATTTACCCTTTATTGATTATTCCCTACCGTTTATAGAGCCTGACCAATAAAAAAATAGTCCAGGGCCATGTATCTGCCAATATTAAGTTATTACAGATATATCAGGTGTATGTATATGTTGATTTATGTCAGCTGATAAGTTGATAACCAAAAAAGAAACTGGAATTGGAAAAAATCTGATTCTTTAAACTCTCAAATGTCAATAACTGCACTGCCTTCAAAAATACACTACTGGTTAGGCTACAGTGGAAAAGAAACACCAATGATATATCAGATATAGATTAGTGAGCATAACCGCATCATATTTTGTCTTTATCCTAGACAACAACACATTATGTAAGTTAATTGATCTTGTTGTACAAGACACACAGAGGTGTTTGGGTGTCACTGGGTAGATTACAGTATAGTCTTAAAGGCAGATGTCAAGTATTGAAATATATATATATTTTTTTTAAAGGTGCATGATAAACGGTGATAACTGCAGGAGAGCATAGGATATTCTACACTGATATAATAATATATTGATATGATATAATGATAATGTCAGCAAGGGACCAAATCCACCAATGGGAAAACCGAAAGAATGAAATGACCTAAAGGACTAAACTTGAACTGTTCTGGTTTACATGATTTGGTTTATATGATGATTTCATGGTTAGAAAAAGTACCTACAGGACAAACTGATATGTGTGTGCATTAAGTGCTTATAGAAGTTTCAACTCATCCCAAGCTTCAATTTGCCCCCTAAGCTGATTTTTTAAATAAAAATAAATAATA